ATAATGTTCTTTCTAAAGACTGAGCATGGAAAAATACAGTGGAATGTTTTTTTTTTTTCATTGATATGAACAAAAGCGAATTGAGACAAGTACAAGGAACAGAAGCAATGAGTAAGATGGTGTATTTACAATTGATTCTTATAAAGTTGAATTATGGTTGTAAGGAAATACATCTTTATTAGATGTGAATTTTGTAAGTGCTCAGACTGGTAGGTTTTGATCTTAGATAAATTGTTTATTTCTCATTAGTGTAATTAATAGTTTGCTCTGTATTTGATGTGCAGTGTGCTTCTGTAATCAATAGGGTTTTTCCCTTTATTCAACAGTTCTCAATCTACTTCAATTAATACAAACACTATGGGAAGTTGGTTTTCTTTTTAGATGGAGGGGACAATACCTTTGGCAGGTGTTTCCTGTTTCTGTTTTTAATTAATATTGCTTGCAATACTCTAAGCTTTTCAGTCCTCTTTCTGACACAAGCTTGGATTATCATCTTCAGAAATACTCTTAAATCAGATGCATCTGAAATTAGTAATGCGGCCAAACGAGCGATGCAGAGCTTATTGCGTGCTAGAAAATATTTAACAGACCTGTAACTGGTGTAATTAAAATCCTAGTGGAAGGTTAGATTAGTATTTTTTCAGGTCTGAATGGTATGGTGAATGACACCATGGATTTTGAGAATTATTAACAACTGTAATGCTAAGAACCATATGAGAGATAGTTTCATGATTCTTGTTATTCTTGTTTCTAGTTTTGTGGACTGTTTTTGTTCTTCAGGTGATAATATCTTACTTGATTTTCTATCTTGGATTCTAAAAAAAAAAAAAGTCTGGACAGGATCTTCAGATAGCTTCAAAGGTCTCCCACAGTATACCTTTCTGCAGTTTTTTAAACCATCTTTATAGATTTTGGTCCACTGCTGTGTAAATGTACCCATTTGGTTGTAGCAATTTTTATGAAATCAGATTCTCATGTGTGTGCTTCACTTCCTTCTGTCCTAGTTCAAATAGAGTGCTGTTACCTGCTTTCTTTGATGTCTTATGCCTTTGGCTTCAGTTTCTTAGCCCATTCTTAAGGGCCATGTTCATGTGGTGCTCTTATGTGGGGTTTCTGTTTCTGTCCTTTCCTTCCACTTTAGCTGTCATCTTTAGACAATGAGTTTTTCTAAAGAACTGCCTTTAGATGTTTGGAAAACACCTACCTTGTTGTAAAGCAGCTTGTAAAATCTGTCAAATAGCAACTTCAGAGTATATCTAAGTGGAAAATTCATTTTCAAGTGCTTACTCTCTATGTAGATGCATCTTAATGAGATATAATATCTGGAAACAGAAGAGTCAGCACTTTAGTTTGATCCGTAACTTTTTTGAAGTTGAAGGATGCGTTCTCATTGACTTCAAAGGGCTTTGAATCAGCAAGATCTTAGTGAGCTTTTGGTAGTTGTGACCCTCCTGAAATAAAATGGCTGAAATTTAAGCTATTAAATAACTTTTACTGCTTTTGAAAATCTTAGCTGAATTTGTTTCAGTTTAAAAAGATTAAGCATATAGTATATGTTACTTGTGTATAAAGATCTTCTGCATTCTGTTTTTTTGCTTTCAAAGTACCAAGGGTCTGGGAGCTTGAAAGGAGGGGCTGAGTTTTGTTGAGAATTTTGACATTCAGATTTATAAAGGCCTCTGATACTTCGTGAATAGATGACTTCAGAATCTACTTGAGTTATTACTTTGGAATTGCAATCCTTTAATGCCTGCCTGCTACCTATCTGGAGTTTTGTAGACATGTGTTTGGTAAATGAGAAGTGCTCTACTACAGGAGTTCTGGGAAGGATTGGCCTGATACAGAGAAAGGGAGCCAGAACCCATTTGTTTAAATCTAATCTGATCTGGATGATTTAAAAACTCTGGATCTTGTTTTTAGAACTGCAATATGCTTTTAAATTACATTGGGAGCAAAGCAGGAGTTTAAGACTATTAAAGAGAACACAGTTAATGACAATAAATGTTAGAAAATACCTTTTGTACAGGTTTTAAGGAGAAAAAAAAATCTATGAAAGGTAAACTTCAGTATCGTTTTCAAGGATTAATCTCTGTTGCTTCTAAAGACAGAAATACCAGCTTTTCAGGGTTAGACTGGAAATCATTTGTAAGAAGCAGCAGTTCCTTTAGTATATTGTCTCTTCCTTCATATCAGTATAAAGATTGAAGAAGTATGGCTTTGCCAGCTTTTCTGGGTTGTATCAGATAGTGTCGTATCAGATTGCTTGTCCTCGTTCTGTCTGCAGAACATTAGAATTCACATTAGTTGCATTCAAGTGTTTGCATCTGTCTATCGTGACAGCTAAAATACTCTATTTATAGAGTACAACTTACTCAGAGTGGATAAATTTACAGAATAGAATAGTAAAGCCCTGGGCTCTGTTCTAAAGCTCGGAAGTAACAGTGCATACTCCTACCAAAATTGCTAAGACTTTGCGGGAACATCAGTGAAAATGAATATCAGACAATTTTATTACACTGAATTAAAATTTACTTCTCTTTGAAATTGCTGTCATTTTAGAGAGCCAGTGCTAGCTTTGGATTCTGTAGATTACATTTTCAAAGCTCTGTTTGCTGAGATCTTGTCTCAAACTACCAAGATTAGCAGTTTCTGCAAGTTTGGTCAGAAGGGATGCTAGATACTGGTCACTTATATATATATGCAACCTTTACACATCTGCATTAGCAAGAATGCTGATGCCTTAAGGGAGGAAAATTTGGTTCATATCACTGAGCATCTTTTCCTTTTAAAAAAATGAATTACATTTCAATAGAAGGAAGCATTCACTCGCACATGGATACCCACTCCTGGTTTCTTTTTACTGTTAAATTATTTCAAAATCAAGGCCTGAACTTAGGAATTTTAGCAAAAATGGTGTTTTGGCACTCCGTGAAACCTTCCTTTAACAGGAGAAATTTTGTAACTGTAATTTGCAAAATATTTGCTTTTATGTTAGCTTATGATTTAGACTACCTCTCAGAATTTCTAATCCATATGTCTGTTAATTTAGATGTAATATTCTTCAGCATTAGACCTTTCTAATTAGAAAATTGTGTAGGCTTAAACATTTGCACAAGGATCAAAAGCCAGGAACAGCCAGTTTCCATATAAAGGCATAATTTTTTTCAGTTACTGCCCAAGTGGAAAATTGGAAAGAAATTGTTGTGCTGTCAGGTGGCTTTAAGTCATTGTATAGCTAAAAATTGTATGTATCCTTTTTGAGAATAATACACATAGGAAGGTACAGGTTTCAGAGAACACTACAGGAGAATTGAGTGAAACCACATACAAGAGATGTGTCCTTCCAAATTTTTTTTAAAAACAGGTGTTTGAGAGAAACATAAGACAATGTTTTGGAAAAGTTAAAACAAATGTAGAAATAAAGCAGTTTCAGGTAAGACCTTTAAAGCAGGTCCTGAACAGGAAAAGCAAACGTTCCCCTTGGAACATTCTCTGAATGCAGTTTCTTAACAATAAGAGTATCCTGCTTTTGAGTGAGAGCGCACAAAATTATTCATACTGAGGTGTGGCTTTATTGCACATGGAACAACACATTAAAAGGAAAGTTTTCAAACTGCCAGCTTAACTGTATCTCCAGCAGCTATATTTTTTATTTCCGACATATCTGTACCCAGTGCCCAGTTCTGCTTACAGTAGCTGTGATTGTCTCAGGTGTTACCCTGTTTGGTCGTCTACCAATTTCCCTGTGCTTTGCCAGTACTGTTCATCTCAGACTTTGGGGCTCGAATCCCAGAGTTCCCCTTCTGTCCATCCTCATGTGTTACTTACTGTCCTGTGCAATCTAGTTCTTGTCATCGTTTAGTCTATGTATACATTCTTCTGCCACCAACAACCGCTTCCAGCTTGTTCCAGCCATCTGTTTTCCTTTTTATTATTTAACATCTAAACAGAGTAAGCTATGCACTTGAAATGTGTGTAAAGGGATGACAGTATGGAAGTAATAATAGTCACAACTTCTTATTAAATGTAGATCTAACTACTTCTTGCATTTCTCTGTTTAAAGGAGGATACTGAGGAAAATTTGATTTTTTTTTTTTTTTTAATTATGTATGTGAATTATGCATTTTGGAGTGCTAAGAGTGATGCGAGGGGAAAAAAACATATGAGCAGCTCAGGTTTAAAGATATGCTGTACTTGTGTTTGACACTGCCTGCGTGATTCTTGGAGATCAGCAATTTACTGCGAAATAGCATCTAGCTAGGGTACCTTGTTCATGTGGAGTAGCGAAGGACAGAATTGTGCTTATTGTCATGTTAGGGCAAACATGTGCCACACTGCAAAGTTTATTTACCAGCTTCAACTTTTGGCAGCATGTTTATCAGCCTGGACCTTTGTTATTATTACTTGTTTGCTTACCGCTTTCCATGGAGAAAGTGCCTCCTGCTTTGTTCCCAGTTGAGTCTTATTGCCTGACTGCAGAGAAACATCCATTCTAGCTGTCGTTATCAGGTCCTGGCTATCTATTTCCCGAGGTGGGATTGGGTTTGAGACTTGCTTTTGTGTTTAAGGCTTTTAGTGTTGTGCCCTTCCTCCTTTTGTGAAAAGGACAAAATACAGAGAAGTTCAGTAACTTCTCATCTGTAAACAAATGGGCTGAAATAGAGAGAAGGTTCCAGTCTCCTCCTGAGTTCTTAGTGGGTTTGCTAAAAGAGGCTGTGGAGGAGGCAACAGGACATGCACTCATCCAGTTTTAAGACAGCTGGTTTATTTTTGGATTACAAAATTAGTGATCAAATTATCTGTTTTATTTTTTTTAAAAAACTTCTTGCTTTAAAGGCTATTTTTTTAAGGACAACTGGCATATTAACTAAACTTACTGGAAGCCTTCCTGCATTTTTATGTGAGGTAATTAATTTTCTGATTAACTGATTTTTTTTTCTCCCTTTTTGCCTTTTAATCTTTTTTTCAGGCTTCCTTAAGCCAGACTTAATATTGATAGAATGAAAAAGTTTAAGAGGAGACTGTCCTTAACCTTGCGTGGAAGCCAGACCATCGATGAATCTCTGTCTGAGCTAGCAGAACAAATGACAATTGAGGAGAACAGCAGCAAAGATAATGGTAAGCATATCTTTCACTTTCCAGGAAATGTAAGAATTTTGTCAGGCCCCACTCAAGTGAATGTTATTGGGTTTTATTTCCGTTTTCACGATTGCATGGACTTCCTCACTAACCTTTTTTTTCTTTTGCTTTATCTTGCATTTGACTACCCTGGTTCTTTTAACAGGTTGATATGTTGTTACATTTTGGGTTGGCTTGCTTTGATATTGAACTATTATACTGCTGTTTATCAAAAGCTACCTAAACTGATATTTCAATCTGGTGTATAGCAAGAATCGCAGATGCTCTTTCAGTAAACGAACCTGTTATTGTATGAATTCGGTGAGTCGCACATCAACTTCATATGGCTTCAAATTCAGGTTTTTCTCAAAATCATTATTTGATAATATGCTTGATAGTAATTGCTTAAACACTGTAAAGAAAACTTTTTACATTATCAGTGATGCAGTGCAGTAGTCTGAGAATTCTGTCAGCACTTCATGTCTTGAATTCTCTTCAGCAATATGAAGGTGACTAGAAACATTCAGGATAACCAGCTTGCCTGTGTACTCTTACATGCAAGTCTTTGGCTGATCCCATAAATATACTGGCTGCCATAAAGTGCACATTAATGATAATCCCACTTCTGAATGCAATCTACAGTAATAATGACTAAAAGAGATTTTGTTGCTTTGTTCTGTTTCCTGGGCTGCAGCATTTAAGTCATATTTCATCTTCTGTGCTGGTGTTTTTTCTTGCTCTGCTGACATGTAAGATTTTTATCAAGAGTCAAGTGATCTGATGATTTGGGGTTTTTTTCCCCCACTTCACACCAATAAATGATTCTGAAGTTTCTCTCTGAAAGCTGACAGGGCTGGGAAATTTGAGCAGAAGTAGAGGTAATGGCATTTGCCCTGCAGACTTTTTAACACCCCATCCAAGATCTGTTGCATACCAAGCTTTTGAAAGCTGAATTTACCTTTAGCAAAAATAAGCTATTCATGTTTTTCATTTTTACCCTTAATCCCTGGTATATTCATTGCTATTATGCTGTCTTTATCATGAGCCATGCCCAGTAGTTTAGAAAATTTTTTATTGCAGCTTTTTATGTTGTGATACAACAGGTCTGCTCTGAAACAACAATTGTAGTATTTTTGCACTGATACCTACCAAGTACTTTCTGAGACTGAGCAGTTGTCCCATGCGTTTTCACTTGTATTAGCCTTTTTTACTGACATGTTTTCTGTACATACTTCTGACAGATTGATTTCATTATTCAAGTACATGCCAAGAATTTTACTTTAACACCGGGAAATGAGCATGAAAAATTATCACCAGCATCAGTGAATGGAGTGAACTGGGTTACTGAATTGATTCAGCTGAAAACTGGATCAAGGAAGAATAAAAAGACTTTACTTTAAACTGCACTATCTTCTTGGCTTCTTTTCTTAAGCTTAAGTGCTAGCTTAAGGGACAGAAGGCACAATAATTGTTTACAGAAGCATGAGCTTACTCCATCTTAAACAATATATGAATCTATTTGTACATTGTAATATTTATCAGACAAGTACCTCAAACAGTAATATTTAGATGACTTCTGCATGCTTACCACCAGACTTTGAAAAACAACTTCTGAGTAGACTTAAAGTGATAAAAGTGAATTCAAGAAAATGTATCTAATTACAAAGTCATTGTTTTTCTTTTAGCACTCCTTTTGTTTTCCACATGACTTCATTAGCCAAAAGGAAGCTTACGTGCTATGCTTACAGCTGCAAGATCTTGTTAATGCATTAGTAGAATATCTTTGAATACCCTAAGGTGTTGTAGATCCTCTAAAAGAGGAAGAAGAATAAATATATTTTTTTTTTTTTTACTGTACTTTTGCTATGCACAATCTTCATCATTTTCTGTAATTTTTAAAAAGTTTTACTGACATTTGCTTCCTTTTCCTGATACTTCTAGAATGCAGATGTTGGTGTCTGTCCTATCTTTTATCTTGCAGAGATTAACAGGATAGTACTTTGCAGAATTTTTATTTTCCTTTGTTTTTCTTTTCCAAACCCACTTAGAAAGCAGAGTTGGGAAATGCTTGCTACACAAGCTAGTCCTGCTTTTCTAAAGGAGGCTCTAACTTTGCCACAAATCAAGATAATTTGGAAGGAGTAGTTTTTCAGACAGACCGTAGGATTCGGGGTTTGGTCAACAATAATTCCTGGAAAAAATGGTCAGGAAATGAGTTCTCCCTTTTGGTAGAAGACAAGATTGGTAAAGAATATAGCCTGGAAAAAAAAATACTTCAGTGGACGTTATTTTTAAAAATTATGTAGAGAGGAGTGCTTAGATGAGAAAGGTTTGCCCTGGATGTTATAAAATCAGAGTATTAAGAAGCCTGTACTAACTCTAAATATCCAGCTGGGAAACATAAGAGGATGTAATCTCCTGAAGAGTAGTTTATAAAGTGATAGCTGCATTAAGATCTTGAAAAAACATCTTTTACTGCCATGGTGCTGACCTCAGAAGTCAGGAGTAGCTGTTGCCCTGGTTATTGCTTTTAAGAAGAATAAACAGCTCCTTTGCCCTGCGGAACAGAGAAAGACAGATATGCCCAGTTTGCAGGCTTTGGATCTATTCTTAAAGGAACTTAAAAAGTACAGTCTAGTAAATCAAAGGCAAGCCAATATCTTCGCTTTGATTTGCTAGACACAGAATCAAAGTCAGGGATACAAACAGTCTTCAGAAAGTGCTTCTTCATATGTGGTTTATTTTCAGCCATTATTGCATCATGAACTTTAGAAGTGGGCACTGAAGGGCATTCTAATGGTTTCTCATGCCAGAAGGCAAGGATAGATCCTGAACACTGAAGGCCTTTTGAGCAGAATAGTCTTCCATTGTTGTCCAATTTAATTTTTTTTTTTTTCTTCCTAGCAAATCCCCCATCTTGTCTCCTGTCATTCCATTCTGATGGCTGTGTTCACTGAAGGATATAACTTTATGCACACTAGCTTTTTTCCTTCCTGGGAAACAGCTGTGTTACTGGACCATAGAGGCTGTAGAGGCTACGTCCATAGAAAACCAAATCTGTGCTGACCTAGGATTCATGCTCATCTCTGTCTGATTTTCACATACATGGTCAGATGTTTGAAGATTTAAATAACAGTATTCCTAATGCAGAGCAAATTGTCAAATTTGTCCTTCACAGACATAAAAATGGATACATAACTTTTTATTTATTCACAGTGCATTGATACCACTGAATCAGCTGACCTCTTGTATGCAGTCCCATTTCATAGACAGCCTCCTTCATTGCATGATGTCAGTACAACCTCCGTGTGCAGCATTCATCCATCAGCAGCAAAATGGGATTAGCAGGGATCGACCCATATTGTTTGATGCAGTAGTACAGAGCTGTTGCACTGAATGTAGAGTAAACAACAGTCTAGGGTTTATTTGGGGTTTTTGGAACACCATCAAGTTATATGGTGACCAGAAACCTAGGTATAATTAAATCTGCCTTACAAACTATGTTCATTGTGATTGGCTTCTGGGTAAGGAGGCATCACCAAATCAGATGCATAAACCATAAAAATAGAGGGACCGATGAAATGCGCAATAGATGTCTGAAGCCTTATGAACTGTGGACTGTATGAACTATACTTTATGCTACTATTTTATCTAAGTATAGAAGCTTTTCATAGTCTCTAATGCTTCAACATATAAAAACAATTAGTTGGATTTATTGTTTATTTTTAATTCTGTCTTGATTCAAGCACACTAACGAGGTGCTGGCTTGCTTTTTTAATTTTAGGTTCTACCTTAATATATGTATTCAGATTAATATTAAAAATACTAAATGATAATTTGAAGCAGTTGACAACTGAATTTGCTCCTGAAATTTTTCCTTGCCAATGACATACTAATGAAATTTGGCTAGAAGTAACATTCAAATCATGCATATTTAAAGCCCAATTAACTGTAAAATTTATGCAAATACTTTAAATACATATGAGTATGCTCTCTAATGAAAGAAAAAAATGTGGCTGAATTGTCTAATATTATAAAATACATTATCACAAACTCCAAGCATGCTTTTAAGAATAATTACAAGGTGTGTTGAAAAAATACATCCACAGCTCTTTTTTTTTTTACATTTATTAATGTATAAGTAACTTGGAAAGCCATTTGTATTGTTTGGTTTTATTTTTATGTATTGGTATTTATACACATATGTGTACTAAAACAGAGCAAGTGAGATTTGATAGAAATGGCTTAATGAATTTCTAGAATAATATTTATCTTCATTTGGTCTGTTTTAGCTCAGTGATGTGATCATAGGATCCAGTCTCACAAACACTTGCATAATTTTTTTGTAATTTTACAGGTGTGAGTAATAATGGAAGGATCAGCTACAGTAAAGTGCGTAAGTGTTTTTTAGGTTTAAGGCCTTAACGACCAGTTAATACTCCGATAAGAGGAATGAATGTTTATAAAAATTGACATATTGCAATGTTGTCTCAGAAAACCCAAATGTCTTTGTAGTTGTAGTCATTTCGTATCATCTTCACTACAGCTGAGAAACTCCCATTCCATCTGCCATGTGTGATTCCTTGTGTATGGCAGGAAAACAGTGTGTTGCAACATATTTTCAAGACAGTGGTCTTGCATTGAAAATATGAGCACAGAAATACTGGTAATAATGTTTCTCCATTAATACTGGAGGAAAGCATCATTATAAAACATACTGAGGAGAGGGAGCAATCCCCAGAGTCTTAGAGCTCATCTTAGAGCTACAGATTACTACTGCAAATAAATGGCAGTTGTCACAGCCTTACCCCATCCCTTACACTGGTGATATTTTTATTATAGTCTGTATGTACCCTTCTGTGCTGTAGCATACATAAGTCTTTTACTGCTGTTCAGTTGGGTTTCTCCATCCCACATACCTTGCACAGCAGTGTTCTTTCTTCCCTTCTGTTTTAATTTGTTTCTTCCCACAAAACCTGGAGGCTCTATTCATCTGTGGA